AAAGAAGATGCGAACACACCCTGGTGTTCTATGCGGGCTTACTAAAGCCATATCTCAACCGTGCCTCGGTGGACTTCGAGGGGTTGTCCCCATATCCCCGGCCGTAGGAGGCGGGTAGTGCGGCACCGGAGGTGCATATGGACGCTGGAGGGGTACCAGGAGGTTGATCTGACATCGCAGGTTCGGCTTGAGAATGCTCAATCGCCGCTAAGAGATCCAAGGTCTAGAGGTATAAATAACCAAAAAAACAACGAAACATTAAAAGGACCGACGGTGTCGATCGACACGGCCATCGAGCGATGACAGGTGAGACCTCACCGATGCAAGGGAATCACGCTCCAGGAGTGTCAGGCGACGCTCGATCTCAGAGAGATGAGAGGTCAATGGGTCGTGGGTCACCGACCTCCGCCGACGCTTATTGATAAAACTGGACTCATCAACAGTTCCACGTGGAACGTCTCTTTGCTCGGCGTCGTCACCAGAGTTCATACCCAATACTTGGTGAAGTGGAGGGGTTACCCCCAGTCGTATGACTCGTGGGAGTATGAGGTACCCCTCCGGCAGGATTGCCCTGACGCCGTTGACGCTTTAAAACAGGACGGTCAGAAGCGCGACAGCTGCCGTCGGACGCTTCCTAGCACTAGGTGCTGAGGAAGTAGGGTCAGTAGGCTGGCTTCGCCTCTGACCTTCAGAAGAAGCCAATGCCGGTACATTACTCGAGTGAGAGTTACGGGCAACAGCTTCAGAAGCTTGCGCCTCACAAGTCTTTGACCTGTATGTGGAGGGTAATTGACGCTTCGCTTTGAACTTAGCGAAGTTAATACGTAGACGACATTCTAACCAAACTTCTTGCGCTTTAGCGCTTAAGCGCAAATTTGACAAACTTGAGAGCTTACACACTCGTTCTACCCAACAAGTGAACTGGTGATCATCTTATGCAGTTGTTTCACCTGGTGCAGCACCACTTGTATGCCGTTTCGAGGGTGCACGGGCACCCCACGTGACTGTCGTGACAGTCGCTCCTGATACATTTTATCGTAAACTCCTGGGGAGTAAAGAGCCGCTCACAAAGAGCCAGACTATCTGCATTCTCGCAGGCCGTACGGGCATGGGACCCAATGACATAGGGGCGCAAAGATTGCGATGCAGCTCGTCGATCTTCCTCATTTGGGTCTCGGGACACGAACCTATAATCACGTCGTGAAAATGTTTGTTTGGGTCGTGCCAAAGCGGCCGCTCTGGCCTCGTCATCGAGTTGACGACGCTGCGCAGCATCAAGAGGGTTGGTTATCCCTTTGTCAGTACCCTCTTGCAATGGAAGTGGTGGCGCTTGGCGCAAAGGGGTTGTCTTCTTTGAAGGAGAAATCACAGAATGGGATCGACGTCCCTCGCTCGGTGAGCGTGATGATCTTGGGGTACTATGACCCGAAGGAGACTTGGCTCCGCCACTCCTAGAGGCAACGTCACTGTCATCGTCCCCAAAGATGTCGCGATACATTGCATCATCCTTGATGGAGCAAGCGCTATAGGGACAAGTGGTTTAAAAAGCAAGTGTTGTGAACACTGTAATGCTTAAAGCAGTGCTAGGCACTTCGTGCTGTGAAAGCAAGTGTTCGTAAACACACAAAAGGTATTATTACCAAGTACTTGGAACTTAACGCTTATAAGCAAGTGTCGTAACACTTAATGCTTTAGCGTGAGTACAATGCACTATATGCCCAAAGAGGAAGTGTCGTAACACAAGGATGCTTACAAAGCGTGTGTGTAAGGCACGGGTGCTCAAGGGGCAAGTGTAAAAAACACTAACGCTTTGTTTGCAAGTGCAAGCACTATTGCAAGGCAAGCAAAATGAGAAGAAAATGAAATCGATGCCTCCAATTAAGTGCGAAAATTCGTGGGTACGTCGGGTCCCGCGGATTGGTGGGGGAGGGTGTAACGGGGGTTACACGAAGGTAGTGTATTTTACATACACACCTGCCACAACAATGTGGTGTGGCTGTACATTGGGTACAAAAGTAGGTTGATGTAACCGTACCTGAAGTACGAAGGGTCGCATCGTGGCAGAGAGCCACGTGGTCACTATATTTATTTAAAGTATAGTGACTATGCATGTTTGCATAATAATAACAGGCTACAGATCCAGCAATAGTGACTAGCACTAAGTATAGGTTAGGTGCTTATATATTTAGTGTTAGAAGATAAACAAATATAAATCAATTTCAATGTTCTATAAGCATCACTGCTTGAGCGTACTATTCCTCCTGAGGAATTAAGTATCTTTGATACTAGTCTCTTTGAGACACGGTTACAACAACCGATAGGCACAAGCTTACGAGCTAGCCTAGGAGGGTTAAATACCATAAGGCGTAGAAGCTCTCTGAGCTTGTCTTCCTCTGCACATAGTGCATAAGTAGTTTTGCTACAGTAGTTTGACTACTTCTTCTGCACATAGTGCATCTGCACAAAGTGCATAAGTAGCGTGGCTACAGTAGCTCGGCTACAGCACTGGACAAGGGTTCGTATGATGTGTTTCTGCTCGACAATTATGACTTCTGCTCAAAGTACTCTGTGAGATCATGCGGCAAGCTCCCGCAGGCTTACGCTCGTGATATAGAAACAGATGAAACATCAGTACAAAATGGTCTTCGTATGCTTCCTGCGAGCAGACGGGGGAGCTCCTGGCATCCTGGTTGTCCGGATCGTTACTTCGCTACCATCTGGTGGCTGCATGAGAAAGATCGCTCGACGGAAATATTGCTCACAGAGACAAGTTGGTGTAAGACTAATCATATTGACACTTTGGGGCAGCTTTGCTGCTTCCAGGTCTACATAAGGCAATTGTACAAAGCGATCGTGGAGGAAAAGATCCCGATTATTGGATTCACTGCGCATTCGGTCCTAGCATGGCTCCTACAGAGCATGTAACGGTGCATCTTACAAAACACCATTGTGGTGTGGCTGTACCTTAGGTACAATGGTAGGTCGTTGTGACTTGAGGTATGAAGGGTCGCATCGTGACAGAGGTTCACGTGGTCATAATACTTGGTTTAAGTATATGAATACATGTGTGTATATATCAAGAAGGCTACAAGTCCAGATAATTAGTGATTAGCACTCAGTATAAAGTAGATATTTCGGTATCTGGTACTCGAAGATGAACATTAAATTAATCATTTTAAAACCTGCTCTGAATAGCAATAGTTCTAGTGCATTAGTCCCTTCTATAAAGGAAGTTGTATCCTGGATAGTAGTCTCTTGAAGACGTGGTTGTTACAATCGAATGGCACAAGCTTGTAAAGCTAGCCTTGGGAGGTTTAAGAGCCCTAATACATATAGCTCTTGGAGCTTGTTTTCCTCTGCACTTAGTGCATAAGTAGCTTTGCTACAGTAGCTCGGCTACAGAGCATACCTTGGTCAACACGTAAACTTCACTTCTAGTTCGACGCAAGGCTTTTCTTTCAATTCGCGTCCAGCAGTAAAATGGTTTGCACATCTTGCAACGTCCAAATGCCTAGATAGGTGGGATCAAGAAGTAGTCGTGTCACGCAAGAAAGTGCTTGATCTATGAGGCTGGTGGCAATGATATTAATATCCCATGGTCACTGAGTGAAGTTGTTATCCTTATTATAATTGGAGTGCTTATTCTGGGTGCGAGCGATCGAATACAAGGTGATGCGAAAATTCCGTAGGGATGTTTCTCGAGGTAGTGCAAGTTGTCATTGTGGCTACATGCATTCTTGTTGTTGCGGTCTTAAATGTAATATACAGTTGGTCTCACTCACCATTGTAAGTTGTCATGGTTGCGCCATCTAAATAAAGTAAAATTGTATACTAGTGTGATTGATCGATGTTATTTCGAGTAAAAAAAGCGTCGAGCGCTGGCTTCTGCCAATACAAAGGAAATATATCAACCGACAAAAAAAGCGCATCATGTGAAGTTGGTGGCGTCGTGGTAGCATACGTAGAGCATTCTTCATTGAGCGCAATCAACAATTAGCAAAATAGCTTTGTGCCGCACAGAACTGCAATGCGCCAGACGTCAGGCTGACGACACCTCAAATGGATAGTACTATCCGGGACATCATTTCGAAGATTTTAGTGTTCTTCGCGAGCGAGACATTTTGCACTTACTCTGGAGCAGACTGTCTGTCGATCGAAGCGACGAATTGCACACAAATTTTCTGCTGTTAATGTTTTAGATTTGCTATCGTGTACTAGCAGCGAGCACGACGCCCAAAAACTATTATTAGTTACAGTCAAGGCTCGTTAACTTCATACAAGACAAAACCAAGGCAAATAAATAGAAAACTCAAGCTTTGTGATGCTAGTATAGAATACTATGCATGCGCATTCTGGATCACATTCAGGTTGACCTACCACGGAGAACTACGCGATTGACTAACTTCGATCGACGTCATGTCCATCCAATGTCGTCAAGCTTTCCACCGCGTCAGTTTTCTTGGCGGCTTCCCGATCCAGGAGCTGAACTAGCATACTTCTCGCGCTAGGACCCGCACTTGTGATTTTTAATTCTTCACTTAGTGCATTGATCAGGTTACCTTCGCCAGCAACCTTATTTCTCAAGATCGAAAGCATTATATCAATGGCTGCCCCCCATTCGCCGATGCGCTTGATTCAGCGTTGGTTGTCCTCCCCTTCGCCAGTGTGCTTGCTTCACCACGAAAACGTTTTTCAAGACCGGAAGCATCATATTCTAGTTTGGCTTCCTCTTCGCCGATGCGCTTGATTTAGCGCGGGCTGTCTTCCCCTCCACCACTGAGCTTGGTTTAGCGTGGGCTGCCTTCCCTTTCGCCAATATGCTTGATTCAGCGTGTTTGGCCCAATAGAAAAAGGCTGGTCTTTTAAAAATCCAAATGCCTCTTTCGTTAAGCCCTAAACGCTCGGAAGCCGTCTCTATCGACATCCCATTTTCCTTCTCCATATCCTGCGTGAGCTTGACATCAAGATGACTTCCAGCAATAACTCTCGACTCTTGAATGCCTAGCCCTGTAACTAGAAAATCGTACAGACTTTCTTCTGTTAGACGCTCTGCCAGGAACGCGAGTACCTTCTCGTTATACTTTTCCGGACTAAGCATCACGTGGCATAAATACCAGTAGGGAAAGAACGGGTGCTGAAGAACTTAAGTATAAATCTTAAGGATAGCGTTTTGAGTGATCGTGTCACTAGATCTCAGCAAATTTAGACTGAACGCCATCATACTAGGTGAAAGCTGCTCAAAAGTATTTCGGATGTTTTTTATGTCGAAGAGTTTGCCTAATTCTTCCATAATAATGGTAACGTGATTTGCTAGTATATTCGCGTTTGACTTCAACTTCCGGTTAGCTGAGACAATGCTATGCACCACTTCCAGCGTATTCAACCCGTCAGAACTGCGCACCACACCATCAGGTATTAATTCTGCCACGCTTACAGCTGCAAACACGATCAGCATGATAAAAGTCAGCACCTTTATGTCGGAGATCTGCGCTGCGGTGTACTTCGTAGGCATCTTAGACTTAATGGAGAACAGCGGGTTTGAGAGCAAGATTTAGAGTGATCCAAGAATCGGGCTACGATCGCTTGAATTTCACCAGCATTCTTTTCTATTCATCCAGAACTGGGCATGAGATCAGATTCACCTCTACATCCATTGATTTGAAATTCTATTACGATAAACCTGCCGCTTACTTTGGCTTCCTGTCCAGTTTGGCTATCGGGCGCTTGCTGCAGTATGTGGTTGAACTTCTACGCAGACCCTTTGCCTGACGCCACTCTTGAGTACATTGCCAGTCCCGCGGCGCATGATAAAAGTGCAGCTTCACTATTTCTGGATCTCGACTGCTTTGTCGTGTTCTGCACAATGCGAACATCACAATTGCGTCCATCATGACCCCATTGTATAATGCATGCATCCTCTATATCATACGACCCAAAATGTAGAACTAGATCCACCATTTATGTCTTGCCTGATTCTCATCATCCTTACAGTCGTCTCCTTCCGCTCCCATTGAACGGGTTCACTTGTCGATGCTTAGACTTTTATATGGACGATACTGCTCTAGTTGATACTGTTCTAGTAGAATACGATCTCGTGCAGTCCATATACGAACACGTCCCTGAGAGTAACTACCTGTGTTTTGTCTGCTCTTGCGGCAATAAATTGCCACCAGTAGCTGGAAGATTCCGACAGCTTGCACATATTTTAAAAGTTGTCTATGTTTCTTGGCGAAGCAGAGATAGCAGCCGAAGCAGATGCTGCGCACATGCAAGCCCAATATCAGCTTACGACTGACTAATTCTGACTGTACTAACTCCAACGCTCACCCAATATCATCTTACGACTGACTAATTTTGACTCTGCACTAACTCTAACGCTCATAACTGCATAGGACGAAGCATTCCTGGAGGCTAATGATATTCAAGCAGTTATTGCATTGGGCACTGGCAATCTGATTGGCAAGGTTTGACTTATGTCGTCATATCATTGCAATGTTCAAGGATTCAATTGGATAAGTGTATGTGTGTGGAATTATTGTAGCCATGTGACGTGTTACTGATCGATATCCTCGATATGGAAGACGAGCTCCTCTTGCCTCACTTTCGAGACTGCATCCACTTTTTGAACAAGCACTTGGACAATGGGGCGGCGGTGCTTGTGCATTGCGTCCATGGCCAATCACGCAGTGCTGCTATCTGCGTAGCGTATCTGATGGCTACACAAGGTCAAACACTACTAGAGGCGTATGATGCCGTGCAACAAGCTCGCCAATGCATCTCCATTAATCCCGGTTTTCTACGGCAACTGGACTTGTTTGAAAGGATGGGACATGACTCGGAGGTTATGGGCATCACATCTGCGCATGCCGAATTGAGAACGATGATGGTGCGACGACAGCGAATGAAGACGGGAATAGCAGATATCGTTGCTAGTCCGCAAGCCATAAGACCCGGCCAGTCGGCATGCTGCCGAAAATGCAACTACGTGTTGTGTACGACGAGGAATCAGGTACGATAGAGCCGAAATTGTTTTTCTTTGCTGTTGTTAGGAGCTGGTAACGGTCATCACTTGCTATTGCATACAGGTACCGCATTTAGACTCGGATGAAGCAATCAGCGGCGAAGCCTGTGCCGGAATCTTTATTGAACCAATGTCGTGGATGATGAGTCAGTCTAGCTTTATCAGTCGCAACGATGGCAAACTGCTCTGTCCGTCATGCAAAGCCAAACTTGGCTCGTGGAACTGGATCGGTGTCAAGTACGTTGTTCATGTAATTTCTGATCGACCGAAGATAGAACTGTCTCACAAAGCTTGTTCTGCGTTCAGATGCAACTGCAAACGCTTCGTCGCCCCAGCGTTTCAGTTGGTTCCGAGTAAGACGCAGCAGCGTACGCTTTAGTTGGGAGACATAATGACAATATTCACACACTTACACTCGATAAGAAATGTCCTGGCAAGCCTTTTTCATGTGCGACGGCGTTGTTACTGAACTGCATCGCTACGTTGCACATTTCTCCACGACTCGAGCTTACAATGAACTATCCGACGCCTTTGTTATCTGTAACAGCACGGGATGGGATGATCAACTCCTCGCGCGCAGTCACAACAGCAGCAGGCTGCGACTGCAGCAAGTTGGCCAACCCGTGCATGTTGTAATGTCCATTTGCGCACTTTATCAACATAGTTGCGCTCCAACTTCGTAAACAAGGAGAAGGACGCGTCTTTTCCTCTGCATCCATACCAGTGCTGGTATGGTATTAGCAAAAAGAGCACGTTAGTCGCAACGAATACTCAATTGCAAAGCGTATGCAGTCCATTGTGTCTCCGCACGCGTATAACATGTTGTGCTATTTCAATAGCGCAGTTTTTTTTGAAACTGAGGAGTATGCTTGAAAATGAGATTTAATATGCTAGGATGCACTTAGCTTCACATACTTTGTTCTTTTCGCATGCTCAATGATGACCTAGCGGTGTGTCGTAGCTAGCATATAAAGCCGGTTACGTACAGCCAATAGAGACCTTCATGGACGGTTGGATATCGTAAGCCAATTCGTCTAGTTAGCATTTTGCTCACATTGCTGCCATGACAAGCAGGTTTAGGATATATCTAGTTAAAACATGTAAACACTGTCGTCACCGAGATCAAGTCACGGATTCTGTTTGTATTTCTTTATTCACCAGCCATTTCAACCAGATAGGGTTCCTCAGATAAAAATTGATTTCTATGGAATGTTTCTCATCGTATTGATCAGTGTGGTGGTACCTCTATCCTCATGGGAACCCCTCCCCCCACACACAAGGCTACTACATGCAATACGCAGACCAAAGTCATTGCGTTCTTCAGGAAAAAATTAGAGTTTATAGCGCCACATCGGCATTCCCGAGGATGTCTTGACAACTAGTGTGTTTTTTCATCCTTAGAAGCCATAAGCATAACGAGTGTCTTTGTTTGCTATAACCTAGAAATGAACGCTTCAATATTATTCTTCTACTGCTAAAATCAAAAGTGACGAGTAGCGTCATAATCTCTGCAAACCAGTCATTTAACAGGCCGAGTACAACTGTTGCATAGAATGAAATGGGTTTGAGCCCATGAGCACGCGTTTAACCGATAGTGTTTGTGGTTTTATTCAAAATGATAGTTCAAGTAAATATGTTACTACGACGTCATATCGGCATGCGTGTCCTAGCTATTTATTCTCATCTCCACCCTTCTCTTCCTAGATTCTCCTGTATACAGACATGTACTCCTTTTCCTCCTACTTCTCGTACTACGAATCCATTACATGACCGGTCGTTACATTCAAATTCAACGTCTACAAACAGATCACGTCCTCATTTAAAACCCCATGCATCAACCAATCGGACGTCTAAATTACGTGTCAATGACACGCAAATAAACGTTTTATTGTCGCATCAGACCTCATCGAGTCAATTCGTCTCTGTGTGTCAATCATTACGATGTAAAGAGGAGACGAGATTACTAGCAACAACAGATCCACGGGTATGGAATGTAGCACTACAGCATCGACTGAAAATCAAGGACGAACAAGGAGCAGCGGAACTCTTGGGTTTTGTCGCTAGTTTTGCACGGGAAAATGCAAGTGAACTTGTATGGACTGATTTGTTATTTACGGTATTACGTCAACGTTCTTCATGTGTTTTTCAGACACAAGAGATGCAAGAACTATTGAATCAATTGAAGAAAAAGTATGGACCACAATTTGTCGCTAGAGTTTTGGTTAAAGTGATTAATGGATGTGCCACTATCAATATGTTACGGATTGCACAAGAGTTGGTACTACATCATCAGAAATTGTGGTTGGACATTCGTGAGACAGAGTGGAGTTTGAGTCTAGACGAACCGCTCTTGCCACCGTCCATTGTAGGTCATTTAATGACCAAGATGGCGCAAAAGAAGAAACATAAACAAATGCTACAGTTGGCAATGGAATATTTTGCAAATCCAGCATTTGATGCAGCCAGAGATTTTCAGCAACAAGCGTTTTTGAAACTGTTTGAAGCAAGTGTCAAGACGCAACAAAGCCCGAGACGTATTGTACGCACGTTTATAGATTACGTGGATGGAAATTATCGTGTCAGTGGTGGAAATGTAGAGAAGATGAAAAGTTTAGTGCTTGAAAAAGGCTTTGGAGCTGCTATTCAATGTTGTGTGACACTCAAAGAATTTCCGCTGGCATTGCATTGCTACCAAATGATGGGGAGTATTCGCAAGAGGCTGGTTGGCGGTGGTGGTGATGGTGAATTGGAGGTGAATGAGTTGTTTGACGATGCTGAAAAGAAAGAAAGAGTTTGTATCGTAGATGAGGTGCTTCCAGTGGACGAAAACGTGTGCGTCAACGTGATGAAAGCGTGTATGGCACTGAAGGATATTTCCACATTTAAGAACGTGTTTCGGGGAATGGTTGCTCGAGGTGTAGCACGTAGTGCTGGATTTGGGTCGGCGATCCGTTATTGTCACATGCAGTTGGATCCAACCTTTCTCGAAGAAGTGTTGGACGAGGTATTTTTGACGGAGCAGGAGCTTGCGGGTGCCTGGATGTTAGAGGTAGAAAACTACAATGATGCGCTTGGCTGTTTTGCAGCTACGAATAGGCCGGATCAAGCCAAGGAACTTTTCTCGCACATGCTGAACAATTCTTTCATCGCGCCTGACCATATCACGATGCTCGAGATGGTGGAAAATCACCGTGATGCCACGATCGAGGAGATTTTCAACCTCATGGATGTTTTTCTGGAGTGGAAGCTGGCACCTAATCTGCAGGTTTTCACTTCACTGCTATCGATCTGTATGCGCAGGCGTGTAGTAGGCGATGCCATCGCGCTCATGGATGCGATGGAGAAACATGGTATAGTTCCAGACATTAAGGTCTATACGACGATCGCATTTATCCGCGCATCTCATGGTGACTTGAAGGCGGTGATAGATATTTTGAAGGACATGGCTAGCCAAAATATAGCTACAGACCGGATATTCTTTGACTACGTCATCAACGCACTGCATGGGTCTTGTGGTATTGATATGTGCTTCTCGCTATTCCGTGAGCTGAGCCAAGATGGCATGGCGATCCCTGAAGGGCTGTACGTCTCTCTGGTTGACCTGGGAACCAAGATTGGTTTGATTGAGCGCACCTTGCATGTTGCCTATAACATGGAGTGCGAAGGCTTTCAACTATCTCCTGAGCAGTTGCATGAGCTGATGATGCGGTGCCAGTCGTATGACGAGATCTTGGAGTTTTTGCGCACCTTCTCTTTGTTACACCAGGGACGGCAGCCTGAGACCCCGCGCTTTGAGATAGAATTGTACGAAGATCTGATTTCAGTGCTAACACAGTTCAACTGTAAGAATGAGATATCGAAAGTTCAAGAGCTAGCTAGAGCGGCGGGGCATGACGATCTAATTTTGTAGATATGGAACGGAGACGTGACATAAATTTGGCAACTGGGCACAACTGTATACGTCATATGTCGACGCGAAAGTATTGCCTAATGATCCCGGCGGGCTTGACGCGCTGACCAAGCAGATTTGTTTTACATAGTCGTGTTGCGGTTTGCAGCAGCGGTGATTGGCCGACTGCATGACACGTGAAGCGACTTGTTTGAGCTAAAACCTCTTACTGCCAGGCAAATTGTGTGACGAAGAACAAGTTCGTGGCGATGCAGGATGTATGGACGACTTGGGTCTGATAGGCACGGTGCTAGACGTTCATGCTGCGGCCAAAACGTTGCTTACAAACTGGTGGTTCATTTAGAGGTGAATGACAGGTTATTTTACCGAGTCTGCGTCCAATTGACGTTACTAGTTTCGGCTGCGCGGGGGCATTTTACACGGTCTGTAACATAAAGTATGTGCATTATAAGGCACCCGCCTGGTAGTACGACGCTGGAACGACGGGACGCAAAGCGACCAGATATTGCAAAGGCGCGGGTGGCTACTTGCGCAACTGTGAGTACAAGCCGAAGAAGGCGCAAACAAGCTGCGAAGGCACCTGTAGTAAGACTCACGGTGGAATACAAGATTTGTTAAATGCGACAACCAAATTCGCTGAAAGCAATTTGAGTCCTTTACCGCGCAACCTGAACTTAGGTAGCAAAAGGACTTTCTGGGGCTTGGTAAGGCTGGACCAACCAAACCCAGTGCTGAACAGATACGAATGGTAGAACGAAGTTTTTTGGGTAGACTTAGCTGCAAGTGAGCACTGCGTGCGATACAACATGCTCAACGACGTTGAAAAGCAAATGGTATTGTATACAAGGGCTAGACGCATTCGAGACCCGTGCACGTCGAGCATCAAGCAACGTTAACACAAACTGCGAGGCGTCGTAGCCAGAGCCTGCTGCCAATACGAACTGTGGTGGAACCGCTGGACTCTGCTGCCAGTACGCGTCACAGTACAATTTGTTTCGATCACGTCGCTTTGTCACCTTAGGGTGGACAATCAACAGCATGACATAGACGTTGTAAGAAACACCTGGCCTCATCTACCAAGCCTTCAGAATTAGTGATGGTAGAAGCAAACATAGCTTGCTTGATGTGCGCAAGGGCATTTAAATTAGATAAAAGCACAGCTTTCAGCGTTGCCCACGGTCTTTGTGTTCGAGCCCAGCCACAACTGCTTCGACGTTGGAACATGTGAGACAGAACACGTCGGCTCGAACTTTCTGACTGCAATACTGTTTACCTTTGCTTCTTATGGACGCTGTCATGTTGAACAGTTTTGCCAGCAAACAAGGTGTGCAGTTTCCATTACCGCTCATTAAGATCAGCTGCATGCTCTTGACAAATTCAACGCATGGACATTCACTGGAGCTCATACATCAATTGCAGCAGTTCCTCAGCAGTCTAGAAATACTGCAACAAAAGGAAAGAAGTATCGACAGCAAGCAATGAACTAAATCGTGCATATATGAAGAATACCATCATGCCCATCTTGTAAACAAAGTTTTGAGTGAGAAGTAGAGAATTTCCACGCCAAAATGAGCGACGCCGACCAAATCTCTAGCACCCGTCTCACCCTTTGCTTGACCCGGGTCGACAATCTACCTATCCTTTATTGTTCTGGCTTCTCTTGTATATCTTTTTCATAGCGTCTCGGACTTTTATCAGTGGGTTATCCGACTTGGCACCGCCAAATCTTCGTGCTCACCACTAGTGCTGCATGATTCATACGTGCCCGATACACTACGCTCTTGTCCACAACACCATGAACCTACAAAAAGTAGTCCGGCGTGCGTTTCTTCTCGTTAAAGTTGCTGTCACGCGGCGCCGGGTCAAACTGAATGAACTTGCACGTTTCGTATACCTTGTCTCCACTACGATCGGCCATGACTTCATCAATCTCCATAAGCGCTGCCTGATTGCCACAACGGTAGCAATAATTAGGAGCACTAAAGATCGTGACAACACCACGATTATGGGTCCATTGATATCCTTCCATTACCAATTGATGAGCACGTGCAATAAACGTGAGTCCATTGCTACGTTTGAATTGTTCCGTAATGTCTTGACCAAACGTATACCCTGCACCACGTGGTGAAATACCCCATCCACAACGATCATCTGGATCCGACCATACAAGGTCACACATTGGACCTTCATGTGGTACTTCCTGGACCCGATCTAATGCACGTGCATGATCCAATGTATCAATCGATGGTGAAAGTCCACCATGCATACAAAAAACACGATTTTCAATCAATGCTGTCATGGGTAAATGATCAAATAGATCCGTAAAATATTTCCATACATTAGCATTTCCATATTTACGAAGACATTCATCATAAAATCCATAGACTTGTGTAATCTGACGACTTTCATGATTTCCACGTAGAATTGTAATCCGTTCACGATGACGAACTTTTAGTGCTACTAATAGTGCAACACTTTCCAATGAATAATACCCACGATCAACGTAATCACCCATAAATAGGTAATTCGTATCCGGACAAGTACCACCTATCCGAAAAAGTTCCAATAGATCATAGAATTGACCATGAATATCACCACAAACCGTGACGGGACATTTCACAGGCTGAACATTTGATTCACCAGCGAGAATTTCTTTTGCTTTTTGACATAACTCATAGATTTCACTCTCACTCAAGTTCTCCGCACGACGTAGACGATCAATTTGCAAGTCTAATGCTTTCATTTCACCACGGGAATCCATTCGTAATACAAACCTTTAGTTTATTCTTGTCGTTAGTTTATTAGTATCTCTCCCCCCCCTCTCTCCTCTCCTCTGGCTTTTAATTTACGAATTGATTTAATCTGTCGTAATTAATATTATACGGATATATAAATAATTAACTTTGACAAGTTCCTTTGATTCTGCAAAGTACTTTCTGTTCGACCAAAACGTTTCTAAAATAGAGTTTGGTAACTTAACGTTACATCCTGTTGTGTGTGTTTTATTTTCGTCATTTCGCTGCTTTGTCATATAGCTACATATGGTACACTGTACCTACTGTCTAATATAATAAAAAAATAAATAATTTTACAACAAGAAGAAAGGTATAGCATATATATATATATATATTTTAAACACCACCTTGCGCAGTCTCTTCAAGACTTTGGGCCCATCTTGACTGTATTAAGTGCCGTGTACTAAAGTTGCTGTAATATTTTGTGTATGTGTGATACAAATATCATCGCTATGACGACAAGCACCAGTAGTAACAATAACACCAATAACAACAACAACAACACTAGCAGCACGTATGAGCCCACCATTTACACTTTGTTACTTACGGCAATGTGTCTATTGTTGGCTTTATTCTTATTCATGCGGCTATTCGTAGCTCTTCGTAACAAGAATAAATTATTGGCTTGGTCGACTGGTTTCTATGTGCTATGTTTACTATGGACGGGCGTACGTGCCGCTTATTGGATAATCATGTCAACGCAGTTTAGTATGCGCTACTTGACACTCTATATTCTCTATTGGTCACCTACGCCAATCCAATTTGCCAACTTCTCACTGCTCATTCTGTTCTATATTCAAGTGCTTACGGGTCCAGAGTGGCGCTCCAAGTGGCGAAACGTGTGTCTGCCGCTCTACTTACTATTGACGATGACCATGGCAACGTTCACGGTCGTCTGGGCCTTTAATTCGTCCAATGACATCTCAAAGGCTGCACAATGTGGAGATGAGTATGACCAGGAATTTTTGAGAGTTTCGGATGTTAGCGTACAACTCAAGTACTCTGCTTTCTCTTTTTTCCTGTTGAGTGTGCTGTTTGGCTTTTTCGGATGGAAAATGGCCACTGTAAGGTGGTGTAAAAAGTGAAGAGGTTGTTGTAAGGGACTGTTGTTTTGACAAAGAGTGCTTGTTGTATGCAGGTAGAAAGCTGGAAGCGAAGGCGACTGTTGTTATCAAGGCCACGGGTACGCGAAGGAACGCCGTTTATTGCATTGTGGAAGCTTAATGACAATTGTGTGGCGACTGAATTTGTGTAGAGCTTGGCGGTGATCAACTCGCTACTATGTTTGATTTTCCTTACAAGAGGAATACGGGATCTAGCAACGTCTCAAAGCTGGTTTTTAAGCATCTGGAACAACCTGGATATGAACGGCCGCGTGACAACATTTGCCTACTTTGTATTCTTCTGCTTCTGGGAGTTTTTGCCCACCGTTTTGTTGCTCTGTTTGATTTCATCAAAGGCTGGTGGCGTAGGAGGTAAGCATGGGCTACAGATTAAATGATTTTGGAGGAACTAGTCTTGGTCATTGATGATTGCTCTGTGTGTTGTAGCTCCGAAGCATGGACCTGCGTCGCAAAAGTTACCTGACTACGGCATTTTCCACATTATTAACACTGGTGACGGTAAACTGCTGACCGCAAGCCCACTTAGCTTGAGCGCCTATAGCTCTTACGGAACTCGGACAGATGGCTCAGCCGGTTTTGAGCGGGAGCCCGAGCGTGAGCGTCCGCGATGGACGCATGGCGGTGATCTCTTTCAAGATCCTTTGCGGTATGATTCAGACGATGAGTCAGTGCCATCACCACACCATTTCTCGAATATTTACAATAGCGACGCGAGTAATAGCAACTACCACTACGAACGAGTACCAGGTTATTCAACTAAAATCTAGCTATTAGATATCATACGTGTAATGAAACAGGAGTGTATTAAGTTCCGAAATGGTCCAAAATTCCAGTCAAAAAAAAAAAAAGGATATCTAACCTTGTACGTTTATTCAAAGCACCCTTCTCGGCCCGTTTCTTTCTCTCTTCTCAACGTCTTCGTTCCAGCGCGCCAGAACACTTACGTGCTATCAGTCGTGTTTCATTGCCTCCCGCATTGCTATTTTTCATTTCTCAGAACAGTTCTAGCTGACAAAGCAATTTTACAGATAATAATACCTGCTCCAAAGACGTATTGTTTGCAGCAGCTTCATGTATGAAAAATGCTGTCGTATTGAGTCACAAAAGGCTTGTTACATTGCTCAAGTGTACTATTAATTTCCTTTTTCAATACCCCACCACCACCCATTCTTTTTTTTTTTTTTTTTCGGGGTTCCCCCCTTTTTCTTTTTTTTTTTTTCCCTCCCCTTTCCCCCCCTTTCCCCTTTCTTTTTTTTTTTTTTTTTTTTTTTTTTTTTTTTTTTTTTTTTTTTTTTTTTTTTTTTTTCTTTTTTTTCTTTTTTTTTTTTTTTTCTCTTTTTTTTTTTTTTTTTTTTTTTTTTTTTTTTTTTTTTTTTTTTTTTTTTTTTTTTTTTTTTTTTTTTTTTTTTTTTTTTTTTTTTTTTTTTTTTTTTTTTTTTTTTTTTTTTTTTTTTTTTTTTTTTTTTTTTTTTTTTTTTTTTTTTTTTTTTTTTTTTTTTTTTTTTTTTTTTTTTTTTTTTTTTTTTTTTTTTTTTTTTTTTTTTTTTTTTTTTTTTTTTTTTTTTTTTTTTTTTTTTTTTTTTTTTTTTTTTTCTTTTTTTTTCTCTCTCTTTTTTTTTTTTTCTTTTTTTTTTTTTCCTTTCTTTCCTTTTTTTTTTTTCCCCCTTTCCCCCCCCCCCCCCCCCCCCCCCCCCCCCCCCCTCCCCCCCCCCCCCCCCCCCCCCCCCCCCCCCCCACATGTAGGTTTTCACCTATTTTTTGAGCCGAAGTTAAGGTGCCTCTTTCGCACTTACCAAGCGATATTCCGTCGCATGAAATTGTTTAGCAGATTTTCAGCGGTACGATCCGTTTTGCCGGCTTTCACTCTTGCAGCTAGAGCGCTCATCAGCGACAATTTGTCATTGTAACGATTCAACAAGGTCGAAAAGATTTCCTCGTAAGGTTTCTTCACGTTGTTTTCAACAAATACGACCGGTCGTTCTAGAGTATGCTGTGCTTGGTCGTGAAGGTTTAGACGCGTTACAATTTCTTTCGCACTTTTCCTCGACCAATGCTGAGTCAGCTGGACATGAAGCAGACTTCCAGCAAATTCTTTTGCACTATCGACCTCCAGTCCTTCAACTAGAGCATTGGTCATCGTCTGATCGTTATTACCGTAATAACTGACTAAAACTTCGCGCATTTTCTCCAAGGGCTCAGAGAAGTTGTTCTTGACATATTGAAACCAGTGAACAAAGGCCGGTTTTTCCAAAAGCTTGACTTGTGGGTCCCTCAGCTCCAAAAGCTTGACTTGTGGGTCCCTCAGCTCCAAAAGCGTCAAAACCTCCCGCCGATTTACCCTTCCATTTTGTTTTAAGTAGGGATTTGAGCAGACCACTAGCAAAATCTTTCGTATTGTCGATCTCTAGTCCTGCAACTAGGTCCTTCGCCAGCAACATATCTTGATCGTAATGCTCAAGCACGATTTTGCGCGCTATTTTCAAGTTGTTATCCAGTGAGAAAAGGCTGGCCTTTCAAAAAGCCCGGCTGTTGTCTTGACGAGCTTCAGAGCGTGAAAATCTCTTTTCGAGACCTATCAGACCAAAACGTTTCCAGCTGCAAATTGAGCAAATATCCAGCAAAAGCTTTTGCATGGCCAAGATCTAGTCCTGTAACTAGGAAATTTGCCACACCTTCCTCGTCAGCATAACGCGAGTTCAAGGTTACGAGAATTTCGTCCTGGAAAGTCGTCGGTTTGCTTTGATAGAGGAATTTAAACCACAGTTAAATTTTTTTGGTCTGATAGAGCGCATCTAACTTCTCATGGAGCTTCAATGTAGTGAACACCTTCTCTGGAGATTTATCATATAACTTCCAGTGCGTCAATCAAAATCGATCAATCACCCTTTCCGGCATAGAGTTCGGGCTGATAACGGTTTCCTCGAGTCTCGGGACGATTATCCTCTCTTCGGAAGTGTATGTATGGTCACTCTTTGTCATGTCCGCATTTGAACTCAAGTGCCGGTTCACAGAGACACTGCTGTGAGCTACAACCAGCGTATTTCCATACCCAGGTACCGATTCTGCTGGGGGCATACTTGCAGCTGAAAATAAAAGCAGCAAGTATGCCCCTAGCAGAATCGAGCTGACAAAAGTCAGCATCATCATGCAGGAATACTGGGCAAGGCTGTACTTGATAGGCATTTGATGCCTGTCGACTTGAGCTTGATGAGTTTAAAAGCAAGATGCAAAGTGGCAACTTTGTATGATTTGAATTGGCACGGGGCCAATGCATTGCTAGCTGGAACCGGCTGAACTAGACAGCCAAGTCTCTCCTATTTATCCGAAACTGGGTGCGAATCAGATATGTCCCGATTTATTCATGTCTAAAGCTACTGATCTCTTCAATTTCTTAAGAAAAAAAAGCTCAATCCAGTCAAACTTACTGCCCAGTTTGAGCAACCGCTTTTATGGTTCATCTTCCTCGTCTACCATCGTTATCACGACATCTGTGCATGCTTTGCAAGTCTTATGACAAATGATCAATGAAGTTTTATCATGTAAACTGTTGTCACAACGCCATTGCATATCATGCAACGACAAGTGGAAGCCTGCCCTAATCTGCGCAAGCCTGTAACGACAACAAAGTTCAGTCATTTCAAGTGCCTCACCAAGCGAGAGTAATTATCCCGTACCGATGTTGCCGGTGGCGTAGTCAGTTTGTATGTGAGCTCATTCGTTAGTCTCGGTGTTCTGATAAGCTGTAATTACAGCGCTGTATGCTAGAAAGTAGTATATTCAGATCACGTCGGAAAGGAAGTTATCGGATCTATTTCGTCGTGCGCTGTCTTGCCCAGCATAACAATGGACTGCAGGAAGAGCGACATTACGTAATGGCTGTTGGTACCGAGTAAATGCTTGAAATTCATGGATAAAAGGTTGAAGCAAAACAACCAAACACTTTTCTATTTTCTCGCGGTAATTTCCTATGATATAACTATGAGTCATACTGCTGGTTGAAGGAGACCCATGACAGCTTGTCTACTGCTGGAATGCACTGCAAAGCAAGCAAGCAAAAACAAATCGGTCAGATGCATTCTAGATAATCAAAAAAACTGGGTCCAAATAGCTGTATGTTTTCTTGGGAAAGTAGTTTAATTTTTAATTACCATGAATGTAATTGTCTCAGACTCATTCTGTGAAATTTAAGATCATTCTGTATCGTTGATCCCCCAATCATGTGTTAGCTAGCATTAGTTGATTTGGTGCAGTAGTGTTAACTTCCGTCGTGGACACTTTGGTGGTCGTATTTTGCAACTAATGTCGCAGAAAGAGCGACCTGTGATTTGCCTGCTCCTGCAGCGACAGAACGATCACCCGTTGGTAGAGGAATGTCCAATAGCTGCACGAATTGGAGACTTGTGTTTGTTTCTCGGTGGAGCAATCGCTGCGCAAGTGCGTTTGCTTCATATGTTACAGCTCATGACGGACTAATTCTGACTCTGCACTAACTCTAACGCTCATAACTGCATAGGACGAAGCATTCCTGGAGGCTAATGATATTCAAGCAGTTATTGCATTGGGCACTGGCAATCTGATTGGCAAGGTTTGACTTATGTCGTCATATCATTGCAATGTTCAAGGATTCAATTGGATAAGTGTATGTGTGTGGAATTATTGTAGCCATGTGACGTGTTACTGATCGATATCCTCGATATGGAAGACGAGCTCCTCTTGCCTCACTTTCGAGAGTGCATCCACTTTTTGAACAAGCACTTGGACAATGGGGCGGCGGTGCTTGTGCATTGCGTCCATGGCCAATCACGCAGTGCTGCTATCTGCGTAGCGTATCTGATGGCTACACAAGGTCAAACACTACTAGAGGCGTATGATGCCGTGCAACAAGCTCGCCAATGCATCTCCATTAATCCCGGTTTTCTACGGCAACTGGACTTGTTTGAAAGGATGGGACATGACTCGGAGGTTATGGGCATCACATCTGCGCATGCCGAATTGAGAACGATGATGGTGCGACGACAGCGAATGAAGACGGGAATAGCAGATATCGTTGCTAGTCCGCAAGCCATAAGACCCGGCCAGTCGGCATGCTGCCGAAAATGCAACTACGTGTTGTGTACGACGAGGAATCAGGTACGATAGAGCCGAAATTGTTTTTCTTTGCTGTTGTTAGGAGCTGGTAACGGTCATCACTTGCTATTGCATACAGGTACCGCATTTAGACTCGGATGAAGCAATCAGCGGCGAAGCCTGTGCCGGAATCTTTATTGAACCAATGTCGTGGATGATGAGTCAGTCTAGCTTTATCAGTCGCAACGATGGCAAACTGCTCTGTCCGTCATGCAAAGCCAAACTTGGCTCGTGGAACTGGATCGGTGTCAAGTACGTTGTTCATGTAATTTCTGATCGACCGAAGATAGAACTGTCTCACAAAGCTTGTTCTGCGTTCAGATGCAACTGCAAACGCTTCGTCGCCCCAGCGTTTCAGTTGGTTCCGAGTAAGACGCAGCAGCGTACGCTTTAGTTGGGAGACAATATCCACACACTTACGTTCGATTTGAAATGTCCTGGCAAGCCTTTTTCACGTGGACGGCGTTGTTACTGAACTGCATCGCTACGTTGCACATTTCTCAACGCATGAGCTGACAATGAAGCATCTTATGCTCTTATAACATGTATCAACACGCACGGGTTGGCCAACTTGCTTAGGCGTAACTAGATATTAGAGTCCATTTTGCGCAGTCTGACAAAACCCATACGAACACTCAACGGCACAGCTACACAAGTATCAGTAGGCACCGCGTTTTTTTGGTCACGTCAACGCAGCTTCACCATGTATTTATTAGAGGTATTGCAAAACATGGTGTAGTAGTGCAGCGTATTATATGCATGATTCAGATACTGCAGATTCTGCCATGTTGCTGAAAGCAACATGGCGCCGTCCATGATCACATTTATGGACAAAGTCATGGACGATTCGCAGCGTAAAGACGCCCTGCTTGTGTCTAGATGCCGAATCGCGTCCATCACATATTCTGTGTGCTGAAGCTTCCAATTATTCATATATATATAGTCACCGTACGAGCCATGGATAACGAAGCAGCCCTTAATAGCAAAACCTTACGGTTTCACCTTGCTACGTACGCTGTCAAACAAATACGCGCTCTGATCGATTGACTTTTTCTCTGCAAAACATACAACACCTTAATTGCGTGTCTTGCACTGTTTGCTCCTTGTTGTGGAAGTCGTAGCATACAGAAGAGCTTGTGCACGAGTCTCATGTAAACATGGTGCGTCTATTCACTGAACTTCAACAAGCAGTTGTATTCAGCTTGTGCGTTGCGTCGGACCACGCAAAGATATGGATGGGTGCATCCAATGCCAAACTTTATCGTCAATTTTTTTTTACCTGCACAGTTATCTACAGGACCTATGACTTACTGAACCTTCTTTGACACTACAACAACCTTCATGGTGCTATGCATCAAATAGCGCTCAATAAAGAACTTGAGAAACAAAGCAAAGTAGCTCGAGTACATAATGATACCCCATTTGAGGTTCTCAGGGTCCACACTGCATGTGACGCCCTGCTTCATATAGTATACGTTGAGACCGCATACAGCAACACCCACGCCCATCTGGCTCAGCTGAAAGATCGTAACGAGGCGCGCCCATCGTGGCCGGTAGCCGCACGCCGTAAGAAAGTAGTAAAAGTACATGATGGCGTGCACTAAGTAATTCATAGCCACAAAGTAGATGCCACTGTACATCCATTGAGCAGCAATGCGCCAATAAAAGACAGTCAGCAAACAACATACTTGCAACCGTAGAGAGCCCTACACATGAATGCCTTCACTCACCTAGCCGAGAGTGTTGCAAAAGCATGCCAACAAAAGAGAAGCACTGTGATATGGTGATACCAGTGTAGAAAAATAAGCGGCTTTTTGCGCAGTACGATAAAAACCGTATCCACGAGCTCAGGAACCTTAGAGAAAATAAAGAGCATCACCCAAAGCGCCACAGGGCCGTGACCGTAATGTGGTGTGGGTGGAGCGCACACCGAGTGGTACACACCGCGGCGGTAGATAGTATTGATGAGGAACGGCACTGTCCTGGAAGCACCAATGGCACTAAACGTAGCTAATCCCAAGTTCCAGAGTGCTAGAGCGCTTTATGTAACGGTACCAAGTAGCGCACACATCATCGATTTCATGTCCATACCAATTCAGCAGAACAAGAGGAAGAGCTACGTACATTTTCAGGTTAAAGGGCTTAAGGTCACGCATAATACGACGTCCAGCAAAGCATAGAAAGCAGTAGGTGACACAGAGAAAAACAGCCATATGCATCGATTCCTTACAAAAGTTTGGTTCCCATGAGACCACCTAGAAAGGAAAAATACAAACACAGCCAAGTGTCAACCCGTGGAAAAAACTACCTGTACAACATGACTGGTAAGCAACACACCCAATCGCGCTCGTATTGGACCGGGTACATCCATCGAAGTGCTGGCATTTCATCGTGCAGCTTTGGCGTGCGTGTAAACGTCTCCATTTCAACTTGACGTTTTCTAGTAGAGTTGCTGTTTGTTTTACTGGACTGTGCACTTTAATGTGAATTAAATTGTGTGCGACGGTGGGTTTTCTATAATCGTTGTCGGCTTTTGGGATTTTCGGTTTTTTTTCGCAGAGATGTAAACAAAAGCAAAAATTTCGGAACAAAAAATACGTACGTTACGGGTTTCGATCAAGTCGAAGATTTTTGTCACAAAAGAGCAATCCATCAGTTTCATAACAAGCACACAATACGTCTGCTACGCCATCGTTATGCAATACACCAGATGTGTCTGGAGACAGTAGTTGCTATATACTTTAAAAGCTTGAGAATGACGCAATAACGAGAAAAAAGAAGTCGGATTTTTCCTTGTTATCATAGCGTTCTGTAGTGTATCAGCATAAGAAGAAAACCCTGATCCTCCTTTCTTACTGCTCACAAAGTTTCAGCAAAAGTCGCTACGTTCGAGAAGAGGTCTGTTCCGATCAACTTTCCTGTTCAAAATGATATCTTAACTTCCACATCTCAAGTTGCATTGTGTCGCATAAACAAAATAGTCAGCTAATAATGACGTCAACAAACTGTCAGATCTAGATTAATGCGAAACGCCGCTATTACTCCGCTATAATTCGGGTAGTTAAGATATTTACCGATTATGGGACGGCGTACCGCAGGAACTGCTTCGTTTTACTATTAGGACCCTCAATGCTATTTTTTATCGTCGTGACCACTTGCACCACCTCTATGAGCGTTGTGTTCGATAGTGCTGTAGTGTCTTGTCTTGTAATAAGCGCACAGTGAAACAATGCGTAGACGTCTCGGCAAAGATAGTGTAACTGCAACTTTCAAAATAGAAAGATTCGACACGCGCACCCAAAGGCAATCGAGCTCACGTCCGATTAAGATAGGCTATGCATCAATAGCTGCTGCACGATATGGACAAACTGCATACATAACTCATTGTAAAGCCTAAAGCAGCTGTACTAGAAAAAAGAGACATTTATGCTTTGAGCGCAAGTACAAACCATGGCCTTGTCTCGCCAAAAGTGTGCTCGGTTCCATTGTCTGTACGTGCACAGGAGTGACTTGAACCTGGGCTTCCAACGCACGACAACGACCGCATGCTGCACAGCATCCCACCAATTCATCAGTAGCAGCTCTGTAATGGCCATGTTTCGTATCTCGGTCATTCGCGTACATGCCTACTCACCAAATCTGTCCCGCCCAATATGCGCGGCATTTTGGTGATGACCCGTAACCACAAGAAGAAGCGCTCGTTTATCGTACGCGCAAGCTGACTTTTGCTTCAATTGTCTGGTAGGTTTTGGTATCAATGGCTTACAGAAGAATGTAACCTCGGCCCGAGACCAACTCGCTATATTTTGCAGCTCTTCGGGTCATTTACAAAGTCTGGTGTGTCGATAGGCCACGGCGACTAGTGTTAATGATCATGACGCCATACTCTATTATTTGCGTTGGACATATGCTCAATCGACGGGAGCAGCAAGCAGTGCAGTGAATCATGTCCGAAGGAGTTCAGAGCTCTCCCAAGCTGACGTACTCGACCCCGTCACCCAAGGCTGCTGTGCTAAACTTCACATCACAGGCAAGAAGTACCTTCCAGCCAAATACAGCGATACGAGCTCGCAGGGCGCTCGTCTTGCCCGTATCTTGATTCCGACGGTCTCAGATCGCTTTAGTTTATATTACTGTCAATGAAACTCTTGCTCGTCTGGTTTTACTCGAGCGTAGTTATCACTGGTCACAGTCATTTTTGTGAAGGAGACATCAAAAACATTGGCCGCATTTTTGTAGACATACGAAAGCGTACGATGCAAAAAGGAACTGATTGACTGAGGTCCAGCAGTGCACACCGTCACGTCGCTGCGATGCTGCAATGAGATACCATCTGCAGTCGTCTTAAGTTTTGGAAATTAAACTTAATGAGGCATTTCATTCAAGTTTTTTTCATCTTGTAAATGAAATTCCAATCCGTTCTTCATGACCGTTCAATTCCTCTTGGCAATGTTACAGTCTTTTCAATGCTGTATGATGAAGGGAAATAAGTGACTAGACCAGCAATCCACAAAGTTACTTTATCAGCGAATGACATCGCAAGCAACGGAATCTGAATTTTGCGTGCAGAAGTATTGGATTGCCATCTTTTCGACTCGACTCCGCCTACTGTCTTCAGATCTCCTATTGTATACTTTACTAACTCATCCTCGAGTCTAAAGCCCTATATACGTATATAAAGCCCTATAAGGTGACTGTGTTCCTGTCGCTCAGCTACGACATCGAGATAGTGATACATCGCGAAAGATGACAAAATCTTGAAGTGGTTTAAGATTGTACAGTAACAGATAGAGATAATCTAATTCATACCGATGTGGAGGCTGAATGCTTTCATCAATAATGATATCATTATAGCAATAGCCTGCATATGAAACAGAATGAATGTGGGCCACACAAAATGCAATAGCGCTTTGAATGGCGATAACTAACTTAAAATCACAAGCAGGCAAACGGCATCGTTGACCATGAGCACGCAACGCGGCAATATGAAGAAACGTGCACCAAAGCATCAGAATTCATTTGCATTTAAACATAATCCCAAATCAAAGAAGACAAATCGTATCATGTCGATGCCTATTTACGGTCTCTGTCAAAAATGTCACGAGCAGATCGAGTGGCGCAAGAAGTACCGCAAGTACAAACCTCTGACTCAATCAGGCTCTTGGTACGATATGACGCGCGTTTGTTTGCATTTATCTCCATTTGTATCATTGCAAACGAGTCTAGTGAGTCGATACTGGAACTAACCATTGAGATTAATATTAATTACTGCTGTGCTATTATGTATCAATGAACTGCAGTAATTTTTGCCATCAAAAGAACGTAACATCTGCCTATCACTCTTCATGTGACCCTTGTGCGAGGGTACAATAATACAACATTATTTATACTCATACAATTCAATGCTAACGTGGCTGATGGATTGTTGCTTCATTGCTTGATTTTGTATTACAGGATCGAGGTATATGTGCCAAATGCTGTTTAATGAAAGAAGTTGTTGCAAGGTATATGTCTCATATAAAGTCTAAAGCTCTCATGACTCGATTAACTGATATAGTACGACTATTTCTTATTCATTGTGTTCTTACACTTACAGTGAGCAAGAATTGTTAATGGAACACGAGAAGAAAGAGCGCGAGTTTGGAAATACATTGGAAGGAATGCGTGAACGTGATCGTCGGGCTTATTTACGCAAATTGGAGAAAGAGGCAATGATTACCAATCGTAAAGAAGCAATGACCACACAGAACGAGATAGCCGAGTCCTCTAATGAGATGCTGTCATTGGATAATGGGTCAATATGAATTTTAACCAATAAGACGTTGTCGATTGCCGTACAATCATTCATCATTTCTCGTAATGACCTACGAAGCATGGAACAACTGGTGGCATCAGACGAAAAGTGGTAGTATCAACACGTACGTATCCATCGTACTCTTTTTTCTGTCTACTGTATTAGCCAATCCCATTGCCCGATGTCTCTTTTGGATCGTTCGTAAAGCTTGTCCCAAGAAATGGATGTAGGTATGCTTTCATCTATCGAACTTGTGAAATCGAATATAATCTAAGACTTTATTATTATGACCCTATTACTCTAGTTGGCCTGATGAAGCTCGAGAGATGATGATGTGGCAGACGTCACTCATGTGTCGAGTAGGGCTATTGTGGATCACTATTCTTGTCTCTCGCCTATCACTGTTATTACACAAATGGCCAGCTTGGATTTTTGGGGTTTGTTTTCTCATCTGGTTGGACTCGGGAGGAAACGTATTACGAAAAATTATCGTCCGTAAAGGTGTTATTGGGTACAAGAAGGACGAGAAAGCAGGTCGTATGACGCTGCTATATGAAGGCACTACATTGGCCAAGATGCTACTGCTTGTGCTTGCTGTATACACGTATTATATCACTCCTTGGATCGAAGGATCGAGCGAGCTTAAGCTATTAGTCTCTGTGGGGTTCTTTGTGTCCATTGCATTGGCTACATTACCATTAGTATGGAGAATAAAAGCTCTTTGTTACGTAACTAGCTCGTGAGCTACATATTCTAATGGCTCTACTCGTGTGTGTCGTTTGTGTTGTGCTATATGTGTTCCAGCTACGCAATATCGTGGGTGCACACTACATGTTTCTGACCAACATGCTGCATTTGGACTCAAAAATTTATTTACATGGCTCAAGGAAGGGAAAAATTTGTGACACTCCACTGGGTTTCATTGTTTTGGTTACCTCCGACAACACCAAGACATTTATACCTGCAGGCGGCACAGCTTGCAAGACGACTGAGGTGTTTCACAATTTTTTGTGGCCGATTCGACTGGATATTCGGCTACCTGCAAATGTTCCGGCGAAGCGTGTGCGCCAGCTCGTGCAGGATATGGACCAGTTGCTCTCGTGGAACCCAGTAGTTGTCATCGCACCCGATGGAAGTGCCACCTTAGACGGCGAAACTTCTTCGTTCATAGATGCGTCGACATCACGCGAAAGCGTTAGTGCTTGCGGTTTGATCAACCGGGCGGCTTGTGAGCGTGCTACCAAACTATTGTTTGATGAGAACCGACAGGAGGAAGAGAGTATTATACGACGTGCGCGAGGCAATGAGGGGTTTGTGGCGTTGGAGCCGAACAAGAGATGGGTAGTTCAATTTCGGACGTTCGTTCAAGCAACTCAGAAAACACATTTCCGGCAAACTCGTGCTGCGGTAAGTCTGCGTATCGTTACCCTATAGTTGTTTACGAACTAACGGTAACTTTTGATTTGCATTGGTTTTGACGCGCAGTACATTGAAGCTATCACAAAGCTATTAGAGAAACAAGGCGTAGCTTATAGGCCGCAAGTTGCTGTCATTGAGTCTGAATGTGCTGATGCGGATTGATATTGCTGAAGGCAGATTTTTGTGCTTCACTATTTGCAACGGCATTTGTAAGGTGAATATCCATTTGCTTTTCGCGCACATGTCAGACGCGTGCTGGCCCCAATCGTTAACGTATACACTTTCAAATGATGGTTTTGGGCAGAATCTGGCGCAGCACTTCTAGGCTGTGATTGTAAGCACGCGTGGTTAAAAGGACAATGTTGGCAAGCGATTTTGAGGAGGCGGGAACACAAATGCTTTCCAGGCTTTTTTTCTGTCGCGTTAACAATCTTTGATTGATTGAAATTGTTTTTATAGCATGAAGGCGGTGCGTCTTCCTATCGAGAATATTGGATAGGGGGGCACTTTTGTTCCGTTTAGCTGGTCTCGGTTGGCCACCGTTGTCTCTAAACTGCACCTTTCAGCGATTGCTAAATGCAATGCAGCCGTCATACAGCTTATGTCACAACCCTTTTCATAAAGTGATTTAGAAGACAATAAAGTTTTCGATTTTATAACATCCAGGTTGCGTTGTTGAATTTTAGTGACCAAACTTCCTCTCCAAACTAAGTGCGGTCAATAATGCATTATAAGAAAGACAAACATATTGGTCAGTGGTGGCATCGTAGCACGCTACCGATCAGGTCAACTTATGGTACCAAAACCAACCACGCAACGGCGCCTGCCCGTACTATGAATTTTAAGGACAGAAGAAAATGCAGGGAGAAGCCCGCAATAGCATTGGGAAGCAGATGGTTAAATCATTGGGGAGAGCAGTGTGCTAACCGTAAAGTCCCACGCCTTTCGCCGCGGGTTACAGAAATGCTGTTGGCTTGCTATCCGGAAGTCACTGGGTCGGTTGCAGGGATCGTTATTATCACTATGCGTTGGCAACACCAAGTGGACAATATTTTCGCAACGCAAATATCTCGCTGCAAAACGACTACAAGCCAGGCGACCACAATTGTATTGCTATTGTTATAAGCAACATAGTTTGTAATTGAAAGTAAAGATGCAGCGTGGAATAGGCAAAAGCTTATACTAGTTTGACAAGTGTTTAGCCCTCCTGCACAACTGTCAACTTGAATCTCGCGGTGTCCTCATCCAGCACTAACGTCTGTCTATACGCAGCATGCCGACGATACATTGCTGTCCGAATTGTGTGAGTGCTCCACAATTCATGCAAAAAGCGCAAGTACAGCCGTCCAGCCGCACATGTCGTACTCATGATTCTTGATCTTCGCTTGCGTCCGCTAGCGCTAGCTCATACCTATCCTATCTTTCTTTTATTCAATCTAAAATGTGACAATAGCATTAACAGAATGTAACGCCTTTGAGTTCTTGAGTGCATTGTGGGACTCAATTGTTTAACAAGCGACAAAGACAAAGTCGCGCAGTAACGAGCTGCTTGAATGTTTGCGAAGTAGCAACAGTAGAGGTAATATTGTCGGTAGTAAATGAGCCCTTCCGCATTTGGCAGTCTACTCATTCGTATGAACACACAATAAGTAGTTAGTTGATCGTCGACTTGCGACTTGAATAACGGTCGAAATCTGCGTACGTAATGGGTAGTTTTACTCACACAACGTGAAAACGGTTACCAAAAGCAGCATTGTTCGACATTGACGACACTAACTTTTATACGAAAAGTACATTGCTATAAAGATCGGCATTGTAATATCCATTCATTGCTACTGTAGAATGTTTTTGAATGTTCCTGAATACCTTCCTTGTAAAGGCTCAATAATGAAGATATGTGGCTTCAAGATAACGAAACAATGTCGATTTCAAAAAAGCGATCTAGACTAGACGACTTGAGATTCTTAAATACCTGGTGCCAATAGGTCTTAGCTCCGATATCGTCAGCGCAAGTCAAAGCACGTCAGCCGTGGCGACCGTTCCCAAATATATCGTACTAACTGTCGCTCATTCTGGATGCATGTGGCATTCTACGAAATCCCTCAAAAGCGCCATATCCTTAACTGTCAGTGGCAGACACGTCCCTTAGCATCACCTTACATATAGTTGACTATCATGATGTTATTACTATCAAACAAGACAGCGCCTCGAGAACCATCTTCGGCGGTGCAGCCGCTCGTACTGATGAAAAAGACAACGCTTATGCCGTCGCTGACATCTTTCACGAAGTGCTTTTTGTCAAAGGCATTTCCGTCACCGCGTATAAAGCTGTGGGGTGCCCAAAGCAGTCCAACAGGTGTGGATGATCCCATTGCAATGAATGTCGACGATCTTGACAGTGAAGATGCACGAGGCGACATTTGCGAGATCGTTGTTGTGGCGATTCAGAAAGTCATAAACTTGAGCGCCGGCTTGGCCAGTGAGAACGACCGCGTTAGCACAGTAATGGCCTCCGGCAGGTTACAGAAGTCATCGATCTGGGGCTCAACCAAGTGGCAACATGGGCAGTTACAGTTGCCGCACCACATGGTCTGCTCTGTTCGCAGAGGTACGACAACAAAAGTATCTACTCAGGCCGACCGAAGCGACAATGAGTTTATATTCGACGAGAAGTTTATCTTTGAGCGACGAGAAAAGGACGAACAATATCATGAGGTGAGCATCCAAGTGTTAAGCGTCGGGCCTGGATTTAGCAAGAAGCACTGCCTTGGGCAAGTGACGGTGGACTTGGATGCTGCATTTACCACGGTGACAACCGAACCCATCTACAGACATAGCGCTTTGCAAACGGATGACAGCTCGAAATCAGGCATGGAGATTTACTATGTACTTCACCGTCTGGTAGTAAAGAATGCAAAAGCTGCTGCTGCGTCACGTATACTTACCCGATCGAGTACAAGTCTGAACGATGATGATGACATGGACGCTTATGGGCAAATCTTTCCCAATTTATGGTATCTTTGCTAAGCTAGAGGTTGTTCATGCGGAGAAATAATTGCTTTGCATTGAATAATATCATGCAGAGGTCTCCTAATTAAAATGACAGCCATGGTTGCTGTCTTTTGACACAATCGAAAGTCTTTTTATTTCATACAGGCATGCAGAGGGTTGATGACAGATTGATACATTAACTATACGGTACTTAAAGGCAGCAATTGGTCATCCATCGGTATACACATGTCAAAAGTTTACCTTGTCTTGTTCACAATTGATTGTTATCTTTGGATAAGAGGGTTGGCGCAAGTCTCTGTCTCATGACTGTCAGGACCTGTACTGTACTGATATAAACTGTCGTCGTGTTGAGCCAGTACACAAACTGAATATTGTGTGACACGGCATAGAGTCGTGCCCGTAATACAAAATCCCTTCTAAATGGATTTTTGAGTACTATACCCTTTTTCGTATTAATGAAGGTCTTTAGATACATATACTTGAATACGTTCGTAACTTTAGTTCTATTCATTTCACACAGCAAAGTCTCTGACTTTATATACAGCTCTCCATCCTCGTTAACTTCATTAGCTCATCATCGATCTTCTATCGCTGTAATGACGTTCCGCCGCGTTCCTACAAAAGAGGAAGAGGAATTATCCTTCTCTTCGACGTCCACGATGGACTCAGACTATGAGATTCCTGTGACGCTGCAGAAACTGGGCCTATGGACTAGCGAGCGAGTGTCTACAAAGGTTTCCCAGACGCTCAATGCCATGAATACGATACGTGAGAGTGAGTCGATGCGATTTAGTATGGTCACGGCTAATAAATGGAAGAAAATGGGCTATCATCCTTACAAACCTGATGCATCGGGATACACAGCACTCCATCGTGCCGCAAAACGTGGTGACGAAGCCGTTGTGACTTCTCTGCTCGCCATGTACGATGGTAAAGCCATTGATTTGGCTTCTATCAAGTCTCACAAACAGCAACAGATTGCTCTACACATTGCAGCCAAGTACGGAAATCTTGATGCTACTCGGCTGATGGCTGCTCCTGAATTTCGAGGACTCGTCAACATGCCAGATCGCAATGGTAATACGCCGCTCCACTTTGCTGCTACGTGCTCGGCACCGTCAGCAGTGGATGTAGTAGCTCTACTGTTAATGCGAGGGGCAGATCCGACTATCAAGAGCCAGCGAGGCGTTTTTCCGATCGTCGCTCATGTGCTCACGGCGCAGGATGATGGTCCAGAAATTGTACAGTTACTCATGAAGAATGGAAGCGACCCCAATACTGTCGACGGGGCTGGCAACACAGTCCTGCATATTGCTGTGTCACGGGGGCTGTGGAAGGTTGCAGCGGCTCTCGTAAGGGAGCACGCAGGTATGGCGATCCGCAACAACGAAGGTGTGACTGTTCTAGACCTCATGTCGCCGCCGCAGCTGGCGTGGTTGGCCAAGTTCATTGTGCACCCACCTGCGTGGGTCCCTTATGAGACCCAACGCTTTTGCATGGTCTGCTCGCGCAAGTTTGGTCTACTTGTTCGATGTCACCACTGCAGGCTATGCGGACGAATATGCTGTGGCCCATGCTCCAAGTACAAACGCCGTCTCCCCTTTAGCGACTCGTCGATTAAGCTAAAGACAAAGGGGCGTCATGAAATGATGCGGGTGTGTAGTACCTGCATTACCGTCCGCGAAATTACACACACGGACTTGTCGTGGGCAAGCACCACGGCGGATCGACTCATAGCAAGCGATACTATTATGGATTATAACAATAATTATTAGCCAGCGGGAAAGCAGCCACTTCGAATGAAGAAGACGCTGCATAATACGACTGGCAAAAGAGGGACAGAGCCCTTGCTTCATGATAAAGGTCAAGTTTGCACTCTCTCTGATGCCATCCACCTACTCTCCTCTCACATTGGCTGTACCATAGCACATCAAAGGGCACTTGGTGGCCTTCACACATGAAAATTTTGCATATACATCGCTGGTGACATTTGCGTCTTGCTGTAGTAGCATCTGGTCACAAGGTTGAAGCCAATTGCAAGCTTGAGGTAAAAAATGATATCAGTGTATCATTCCTGGCGCTGGAGTACTAGCGTAACACAAGAGTGCTGTAAGCACACGTTGGCTGCACACTTCGCGCTTCTTGTTCCAAAAATACTCAACGTCTCCCTCCTCCCTCAAAAAGACCACAAAGCAATACATCAGCTTTACGTGCTATGCATTCACTAGTTTTAAACGTGCCATCCATTGTCTTTTTCTTGTTTATTCTGCCTGACGCTCTTTGCTTTGCAGGGTTAGCAGCACGCTATATTCTCATCCGTCTTCATTTTCCGGTCCGTCTTGATGCAACCTGCAAACGGTTTTACGCCTGGTAAGCACCATGCGTAGGTAACATCATCGGGCCTCCGTCTTTCATGCTAAGCACAAACAATAGCGTAATAATTGGCTTTTAGCAACTCAATACACACAACGACAAATGGACTTACCTCTTGAAATAGTAGTACAGGAAATCCGCCATCATAAGCATGTGGCCAATCTGCACAAAAATTACCATGTATCCAACGTGGTGGCCGGCTTCTTTTTCACCTAGCTCGTGATACGACGAGAACCAGAACACGAGATGCAAAAAGCTGCCAAAGGCAAGTGCATACACAAAATGCGAGATACAAGACTCCACAGCACCGCCACCCTGGTCAACGCAACCATTGAAAAAGTTCAACGTAAGCCATTGCAAAACAACCTTCCGTCTAGCAACAGTACTGATAGTACGTACACGCTTCTGGAACATGAACAGCTGAGGAAGCATGGCAACAGCTTCAATGTACAGCGCAACAGTCCAGCACACATCCGACAACCAGTTGCGGTTCAGGTTCGGATGAATAAGCTAACCCATAACAGCAAGTAAAGCACGTAGAAAAAAGTCCTGATGTAAGTAAAATACATGTTGTCTTATACACAACAAGCAGGAGTAGTTGCAATAGTACGCACCATGCCAAAGAGAACACAGGGCACGAGAATGTAAAGTGCACCAAGCTCCGTGGGCAAGTGCAGCCAACCAAACGTGTCATAGCGCAGTTCGTACGTCGAATTGAAGCGCATTGTGACAAGGTAAATCATCCCACAGCAAAGCGTCAATGCCATGATCTCGAGGAATGTGTAAAACCAATCACCACTTCGATCATACGGCAGGTAGCCCTGATAGCGCAAAATGGAGCTCAGACGAAAGGAAAAGACAAATGCGTACAACTCCAGTGTCTTCAGTGAAAGACCAGATACTGAGCGCTGTGAAAACGCTTTGAAGATCAAGAAAGCAAAGCCAAACGCTCGCGCAAATGCGCCCATGGTCTATAGTGTAACAATCAATTCAATGCATGAGAAAGAAATGATAATGAGGATAGAAAATAAAAAAAACACTGCAAGATACACTATAAGCTCTACACAACGCACCATTAAAAAAGAGAAATCACCATCACTAAACAAATGATAGCAAAAGAACAAGATTACGACAAAAGCCGACCAAAGTGCAATATTATTCTTGTGTGTGGACAAAAAGACACTAGAGAGATAGTAGATGAATGAAAACACAAGCAAAGAAGTATCAGAAGAAGAAAAAGGAGGAGCTATTGATAAGAATAAATCATAACAAATACAATGGGATACGTACGCGCTATAGGACTTATCTTTACTGTTGAATTCCATCATTCTTCTTCAGTAGCAAGTTCGACCAAAAGACCTTATTTGACACTATGGGACTTCTTGTTTGAATGGAATTGAATAATAATACGATTAGAGGTAATAAAAGCTGCTTACGCGTCACTTTGTTAAAGATTGCTCGATGGTATAATTAAAAACTCGTTTCTGATTGGTTGATAAGGTTATGAAAGAATAGCGTGCTCGACATTAAATACAAATCTGTCATGCTATTTTATTCTAAAACATGCTTCTACTTGACATTTCAGATTCGTATGCTCTGATCAGAAGATAAAAGATAGTAAAAAAAGTGCTGCAGTATCTGAACGACTGAGCCAATGCCATCTACAAAATGAAAGATGTAGTGATATTTATTATTAATTTTTTTAATTAATTGTGCTACGTATTCTCTTACTTTGAAGATATCTGACAATATGGAACCTACCAGAAAGACATCAATAGTCGCCAATTAATTACATAAAATAAGTTACACGAACAGTACTATCAAACACAATGAAAGTCGTATTTTAGTCCCTCAGCATTCATTGAATCTCCACACATGTCATCCAATAGGAAGCAGATTCGGTTAGAGCTAATAACTGTAAATCATAGGGTGGTTGGAGGCTATATAATTAAGAAAAAGAGGGGCGCTCAGATTGAGTAGGAGAGATGGATAGAGTTGGTCATCATGTTCGACTGAATCATCGTAAATCAATTCCTCCTCGCGCTTCCACGAACAAGACTAGAATGAATACGTAGCATAGCAATGTACATGTCGAAATGCTGATTCTTCAAGAGGCGTTAGACCGCAAAACACGAGTCGGTACCTCCCAAAGTGCCCAGCGCTTCTAGCCATCCCAAGGGACTTTAACGTCGGGCTGATGGACCCAACATCCACAAGAGGGGCCTGTTTTAGCCGCCAAGTACATAAGTACGGAAGACTCAGACGTCGCATGGAGTAAAAAGGTGACGTGAGTGGCAAATAGGGCAAAATAGATAACAACGTAGACCTTACATATCAATCAATACATTTGCAAGATCAAAATCAATAAGTGAGCTACTCCTGCACATGACCTCGAACAAGGAATGACTGGACACAATGAAGTCGTCTATGATTGGTTTGAATGATCTCGATAGTTTAACACTAGTCAGAACCATCGATAAAACAATAGATCCAGTGTGTCCTAGTTTATTGAATGTACGGCACATCAAGGATCTATTTCTCATATTACAATCTTTGTTAGCTATACACAAATTATCATCCAATAAAAGGGTGTCAAAGTGTGTTTTATTCACTAGCCAGCAAACCATCATGAGCTTTAGTGGAGGTGGCGGTGGCTACAGTGACCAACGTGGCTACGGCTCACGTAATAGTGATCATAGTCGTGGCTATGACGACCCTAATAATCGTTCGGGCAACCGCATTAGTGGACACGCAGCTGGAGGTTACGGGGAGCAACGAGGAGGTTACGATCAACGAGGGGGTTACGAATCTCGTAGCGGTGGTGACAACAGCAGATCGTCCTCTGGTTACGATGCTTACAGTCGAGGCGGTGGTGCAGGAGGAGGTTATGTTGCTTCAAGCTCCGGATCAAGGGAGTACGAAAGCAGTCGTGGGGATTATAGCCATAGCAGTGGGGGGTACGGTACGGGAGGCTACGATGATCGTAGCAGCCGAGCAGGAGCGGCTTATGGCAGTAGTGGCTACAGAACATCCGGTTACGATGACCGAGCAGGTTACGGGGGCACTACTTCACATGGATCGTATGGAGCAAGCTTTTCAAGTTACGATAACCGAGGAGGTTACGGTGCGTCGTCCTCTGGAGGCTACGAACAGAGTCGAGGAGGTTACGGTGCGTCGTCCTCTGGAGGCTACGAACAGAGTCGAGGAGGTTACAGCGACCGCAGTGCATATGAAGGTGCGAGTAGTCATGGAAGTGGAGCGTATAACAGTCGCTCCCGTGGATATACTGCCAGCAGCAGCAACGATGACCGCTCACGTGGTAGCACTCGAGATGATCGTGGGTACGGAGGAGGAGGAGCAGGTGGTGGTCATGGGTATAGAGGACGTGATGATCGTGGCTATGGCGGCAGTAGTGGCGGTGGACGAGATGATCGTGGCTATGGCGGAGGTGGGGACCGTGGAGGCGACCGCGGGTATGGACGTCCTGACGATCGTGGAACGAGTGACCGCCGCGGTGGTGGTGACCGTGGGTATGGCGGAGGTGGCCGCGGCGGTGGCCATTTTGGTGGCGGAGGAGGCCGCGGTGGTGGCCGCGGAGAGTGTGGCCCTGGTGTTGGTACGGTGACTGGTTCCGGATATGAAGCTATTGGTGATCCTTTGGCTGATCCTCGTCTTCTGGACGAGTGGAGTGGTCGCGCAGGGGTGCGTGAGGTGAGCGCTGAAGACCCAGACCTTCAGCAAGAATTTTTGATTTGTCGTCGCCCGGGTCTGGCAACGAATGGCAAGTCGATGCAGCTGCAGGTAAACTACTTTAGTGTGTCGTTGAACTCGACTCCAGATGAGATATTCAAATACCACGTGGACGTTGAGCGCTCCCCTGACCTTGCGGCGGACTCGAAGTATGGCCCGTCAGGCGACGCTTCCGGAGACCAAAAAGACGAGAGTATGGGTGACGAGTTAAAAAACGAGAAGAAAGACAAAAAAAAAAGGTGAAGACACTGAAATGACGGAAGTTCCAACGCTTCCTAAGCACCCGGAACGACCTCTTCCGCGCTCCTTAGTGCGAAACGTGATCAACGCTGCCATCAGGCAATACGAAGCTGAATTTGGAGGAATTCGTGTCGTTCATGACGGAATGTCTGCCATGTACGCGCCGGCTATGCTATCGTGGGAAGCACATTGCAAGACATTTGTTGACGTTAATCCGGATGGTGTTAGTCCTACACCGCCACCTGCACCTGCTGATGGTGAAGCTCCTCGTCGTCCATTAAAAGGCCCGCGCACGTTTGTGGTTAAGATTAAGCTTGCTGAAACAATTTCGACGAGCTCGTTGACTGATTATTACTCCAACCCAGATGTAAATGTGATGCCAGTTCTGCAAGCTTTGGATGTGGCTGCGCGCCATTTAGGCGCCCAACGCTTGATTGCCGTCGGTCGCAACTTTTTTTCGATGAAGAAAACGGTTCCACTGAAAGGTGGCAAAGAGCTGTGCTGGGGCTATCATCAGGCCATCCGTGTTGCTGATCGCAAATTGCTTATGAATGTGGATCAAGCTGCCACAGTGTTTTATGCTCCTAAAGAGCTCATGGAACTTGTGCTTCCTGTCTTGAATGCTCGCTCAGCTAACGACGTCCGAGCCTTATCAGAACGTGATGGAAAAAACCTGGCGCGTGTTTTGCGAAAGATTGAAGTAGTGCCTACCCACCGCAAGGATCGGAAGCGCGCGATTTTTGGCATTAGTGCTCTTCCGGCTAACCAGACTATCGTAAACATCAAGGGCGAATCGATGTCTATTGCTGACTATTTCAACAAGCGGTACAACGTGAATCTGAGGTATCCGAATCTACCGCTGGTGAACGTTGGCAGTAAACGACCAGGCAAGGAGAATTGGTTGCCAATGGAGTTATGTGAGGTTGCACCGGGGCAGCGCTGCTCGAATATTAACGATCTGGATACTGCAGAAATTATCCGACAGACCAGTCAGCCTCCGCGTGCTCGTCAGCAAACGATTATGGACCAAGTGCGTCATGCCGGTTTCGAAAACGATCCATACCTGGCTGCTTTTGGCATTAAGGTGGAGCAGCGTCTTGAAACGACAGAAGCTCGTGTCATGGATCCACCTGACGTGCAGTATGCGAATGTATCCGAACGTCCATCTGGAGGACAATGGAATTTAAGAGATAAGCGCTTTGTGGAGGGCGCTACGCTGCGAAATTGGGGAGTTGTTGTCTCTGCTAACGTTGGAGAGCGTGAAGTCCAGGGTTTCGTCCGCAGCATGGTGGATATGGCAAGCAAGTGTGGATTGACGATCGAAGATAGTAGCCCATGTATGGTTCATATGAACCAGCAGCGTGGTGCACAAGTTGAGGAACTTATGAAGATATGTTTCCAAGAGATGAAGGCACGCAACAAGGGCCCTCCGCAGCTCATTATGGTGATAAAGCAGGACAAAAGCGTTGGATCCTACGGTGACATTAAGCGTATGTCTGACACAGTTTTGGGTATTCCCAGTCAGTGCATCGTGTCCCAGAACGTTCGCAGTGCGAAACCGCAGTACTGTGCTAACGTCTGCTTGAAGATCAACATGAAGCTTAGTGGAAAGAATTCGATGCTGCGCGAGCCATTACCCCTAGTGAGTACCGCTCCAACGATCATTATCGGCGCCGATGTCGAGCACCCTCGCTCTGGCATGGGCTCGCGACCGTCCATTGCTTCTGTTGTTGCTTCTTTGGATCGTTTCTCAGCGAAGTATGTTGCTCGTGTAGCAGCGCAGAAGGCTTCTGGCGATATTCAGCTTCTACCGCATATGTTGCGCGACCTCTTTTTGGCCTACTACAAAAGTACTAGTCGAAAACCTGAGCACGTCATCTATTACCGCGACGGTGTCAGTGAGGGTCAGTACTATGACATATTGCAGATGGAAATGCGCGCGCTTCGGAAGGCGTTTAAGATGATTTCTGAAGACTACAACCCTCCAGTTACGTTCATCATTGTGAACAAACGCCATCATATGCGGTCTTTCCCCGTCAATCAGCGCGAAGCTGATCGGAAAGGCAATGTAGTCCCCGGAACAGTGATTGACACTGGAATTGTGGATTCACACCGCTTTGACTTTTTCTTGTACGGCCACAGCGGCATTCAAGGCACGAGTGTTCCCTGTCATTACACTGTTTTGCACGACGAGAACAAAATGTCGGCAGAAGACGTGCAACGGTTGACGTACCATCTTGGGTACACGTTTGCGCGTTGCACACGTTCCGTGTCTTTCGCCACACCCGCTTACTACGCACATTTGGCTGCCGGCCGTGCACGCTTTTTCCTTAACGAAAATTCCGATGGCGTATCCACTGTGGGTTCGTCTAACTCGAACTCGTCCATCTTTGACTTTACGGAGCTGCACAACGACCTCAAGAACTGCATGTTTTTCATTTAGTTTCAACTGAATGAGGGATGTTTGGTTTGGAAGAGCTGAAGCAATGATGATTCATGGCCAAACTTGTACAATCTGACATCCATATTGGTTCCGACAGGATAGCGTCAATTGTGAGACGAAGAAAGATTGGCTGCAGGAGGAAACAAAATTGCGTTACCTTAGCAGATTTGAATGAAAGAGAAACAATCCGTGCGCATGCGTCTGTCGACAGAATTCAGTGACACTACAATAGTGATAGCCAGCCAATTGCTTCATTCGTTGAATCGCGGTAAAGTCGTCCTTTAGCGCTCCATTTGATATTCACCGATGATCTGTACAATCATCAATGAGCCATCGAAGGACGCCACTACGCGCCATAAAATGATCCTTGAGCAATACTTGACAAATGCCTCAAGTAATTCGATCAAGTTCTTCGTTTGCATTATGCGCTATTTGTCTAAGAACACTGCCCTAATCTGGCTACTTATTCCATGTCCTGCTGATATGCTGCAGCTGATTGTGACGCCACCTGGATAGTGCGTCATTATACATTTGGCGCTATCTCTGTAAAGCTTCAAACGGTACAGCAGTGATTGTAAAATGTTCCAAGTGCACTTGTTGCACAAAAAGTAGAAGTAAAGTAAGATATACTAATGTTAACTTTGTCAATAAACACTAGAACAAGCATTCCCTGCAGTGCAACTGGACCTGGTTTAGTTGTACACCGCATATACCAAGTAACGGTCTAAGCTCCTTATTTCATGCGACAGTCTTAGCTCCATGTCCCATGTTAACGGCCTTAGCTCCTTGTCCCCATGTATCGTCCATGCGTCCGAACCACTTTGTCCCATATGTCAAGCTCAACAAGTTTGACCAATCAGGTGAGGTTGCACTTTACCTGTAACAGGTCTTGCAGTGCAAATTCAACACCCTCACGACCTGTCAGAATCAACAGCTCCTCCTTAGCGTCAACTTGAGAATTGCACGTGATTCAGTCATCCTTGGTGCTGGCAACGACTTCGTCAATAGGTCCACCACCATGTCTTCGGACTTGATAAACTTAAGTTGTATGACACCTTCTTGAACATAATGACGCATAAACTTTAAACCTATGTCCACATGCTTCGTACTTGACATACTCTTCTCGGACTCGAGTTGCTTGATCGTGGCTTGATTATCACCCACATTGACATGGGGCCACGCGCGCGTAGCCTCAGCTCTTTGAAAAGTTTCTTTAAACCCAACCACTCCCGTCCATATTGTGAAGCAGAGACAAATTCTGCCTCCATTATGCTCAAGAAGACACCTGATTGCTTCTTGCATAGCCACATCACCACAACATCATTAATAGCGATAACGCATCCTGACACAGACTTCCGATCAGTCTTATCAGCAGCAAAATCAGTGTCGCTTCAATATTCAAGTCGTATGGTATCCGTCGTAGGACCCACACCAATAAGGTGCACTTCAACGTCTTCGACATTTTTAAATATCGCCGCGATACGCTTAACCGTCGTCCAATCCTGAGTTGTTGGCTTGTGCATCTGTCTTGTTGCCTTGTGTACCGCAGAACAAATGTTCGGTCGCGTGCGCCTTGCAATCGATAGCAAACTTCCCACCAACGACTGAAAAGTCTTCACACTTGGTTTACCGTTTACGTTAGTAGCCGGTAAAATTGCAATCATCTTTGGCTTTTTCGTTGCATTCGTCTTCGGTCGGCGTGCGCACTCCATTTGCCGATTCTAGTCCAAACTTTTTCAATAGCAAGTTAATGCCCACCTCTTGATCCAGAATGCATCCTTCAAAGTCTTCGAGTGAGATACGAAGTACCAAAAATACTCACGAGTTTTAGGTCTTTAATCGATAATGTCAAATGTCCTCAAAAAAATCATTAACAGCACTTATTTTGGTGCCTGTAACCAAAACGTCATCAACATAGACTCCCACCACCGTGCAATGTATCTCCATCATACTTGTAGTACAAGCACAGGTGTTCACAGATGGAAACCACCTTGACGCAGCTCGGAATGCAGTAACTTACTCCATAGTCGACTTGCATGCTCAAGATCATATAGCGACCTTTCCAACATCAACGTCAGTTGATCTGAGCCACCCACACCAAAATTCCTGAGTTATTCATCGTCTAAGGTCATGCTGTTAAGTACCTTCATGTAATTGTCGAGGTGCTCCTCCTTTTAGACCATCACGTGCGCATTTGGATTGTCGCCATGACGTGCCGGTACATTCTATTGCCTTGAGATCACCAAACTCAACTTCACTGTAGGGAGACCGCTTCCGATAGCGGGTCGATTGAAAGGGCTACTCAGACAAACCCACAGACCAAATATGTCCTGGTGATCTCCTCGCACTTAGGTCTTACGACACAACTGTCATCGACGTGAGCCAAAATGTATCCCTTTTTTAGAACAGGTGGCAGACTAATACAAAGTTCTTACGAAGGTGTGCCACTGGATCGCAAATCAAAAAGTATTTAATTTATCCCTATCTTTCAGCTCCTTTACTCTATCTATATCCTGAGACCTGATTCTTGATTCTGATTTTTTAGGGTAGCTGGATCTCTAGACCAAGGTCGACCTCCAGCGACCGGGGTCGAGGGTCCACCGACGAAGAACCGAGGTAGCTTGACCTCCAGGTACCAAGGTCTGTTGACGAAGGACCAAAGTTGACTTCCAGGAACCGGGGTCTCTTGACGAAGGACTAAGGTCTACCTTGGGACCGAGGTGTATTGACAAAGGACCGAGGTCGACCTCCAGGGACCGGGGTCTACCGATGAGGGAACGAGATCTACCTTGAAAGACCAAGCTCTACCGATGGTGGACAAGGATCGACCTGAAGGACCGTGGTCCACCTTAAGGGACCGCGGTCCACCGATGTGAATTCGGTGTCCACCGGGGCGAACCAGGTTTAATTTCTTGAATGGTGACCAACCAGCGGGCTTTGAACGCGAATTATTTCCATCCAACGTTCCCCCTCTTTTCACACCCTTTTTCTCTGGTCCATCGCCCAACGGTCGATTCTCTTTGGTGGGCCCATTTCTCATTGACCAACTGGTCTCTTAGCTCCCGCAAACTTTACAGCGCTTCACCACACTTTTATACTCAGTAGAAGCTACACCAAGGCGAATGAAGGTGGAATCTCGTATACTGATGTGTTTACCAAGAAACGACTACATCGTGGTATTTTTTTCTCGATGCATCATACACCTGACTACTGCAAACAAGTTATTGGGTTGACGTGAAAAGGAGGCAATTATCATTGGAAAGAATGGCCAGATGAAGGGGTGTTGAGTTTATATATCGAAGAAGCAGGTTTTCCTGGATACCTAACACGTAGAACATGCTGAGACACTGACCGACATTCACGACGATGATATGTAGAAGAAGCCACATGGAACTGAAGGCCAGAAGTATCATGACATGGGTGAAAAATACTCTACCAACGGTCGACCGTCAAAATGAAAGCGTGGTCGGTACATAACGCGTTCAGTATGCGAAAACGTTAGCAAGTCAGGTGACAAAAATGCGGATGTTAAAGTTCGTGATATTGTCAGCATGACTACGGACGAAGACCCGAAACACTTCATTGAACCTATCAAGGGCAATTGTCGAAGGAATGGTTATGCAATGAAGGAAGAGCTAAGTCCAGGCGGTTAACACTTCTGAAATATTAAGTAAAAGGCCAGGGTTGAGAATATCCCATGGGGAATTTAATTATGACCTACTCCCGACTTAGTCGACCAAGTGGCTACTGTGGTGAAGCGTTTCAAAAATTGGTAGGCCAGAGGACCGATGGGTCAAAGAGAAGTGGGCCCACCAAGGAGGAGCGACCGTTAGGTAAGGGACAGAGAGATGTGGTGCAAAACAGAGACGAGGGACGACCGTTGGATGAGGAGATGTGCGGTTTAAGCGTGCTCCATTCAGATGAGTTAACCGCGGTTAGTACGATGGACCGCAGTTCCTAGCGGTGGACTCCAGTCTTTTCGAGGCTAACCCTGGTCCTTCGTTGGTAGACCCTGGTCCTTCGTTGCCAGACCCTGGTCTTTCGCTGGTAGACCTTGGTCTTTCGAGGTTGACCCTGGTCCCTCGTTGGTAGACCCTGGACCCTCGTTGGTAGACCCTGGTCTTTCAAGGTCGACCCTGGTTCTTTGGTTCCTCGGCCCCTGGCTCATTCGGTCCCCGGGGACCTCGGCACCTTGGTCCTCGGTCATCCGGCCCCTCGGCTCCTCGGTAAGCAGAATCAAGAATCAGGTTTCGGGGGTAAAGATAGAGTAAAGAAGTTAAAAGATAGGACCATATTAAACAATTTGCAATCTACAAAGCCGTGCTTCCAAGGTGCTTGCTAAGTCTACCTACCTGTTCCGGGAAAGGATGCATTTTGACCCCCCTGTCGAAGACAGTTGTGTGGTAATACCCAAGTGTGAATAGAGCCCCAGGATATATTTGGCCTGTGGGTTTGTCTGAGTAGCACTCCCAAAATCAACCCGCTATCGGAAGCGGTCTCTCTACCCTAGTGGTCCAGAAGCAAGTAAAGACCATGCGGTTAAAACCCCTGAGAAACCAACGAAAAGGAAAGAAAAGGCCAGGGTTGAGAATCTCCCCTGAAGAATTCGGTTTTAAGTCCACCCTCGACCTAGTCGACGAGTGGCCACCTGCCCGCCTACCACTCGAGGCACCCCAAGATCGACCTCTCTCAAGGCCGACATCACATCTTAAACAAGTCCTCCGAAGAGCGCAACTTGCCAGCCAACGGGTACACAAGGTGAGAGAAGGTCTATACACGGCATCGGGGTACCCCCTCCGACTGTCGACAGTCCAGCACAGTGAGTGGCTTGGGGTCTCATTACGCAGACTTGAGAACCCACTCCACCACAATGATGCGACTGCTTGGATCTTGGGAAGAAGCGGGATATTACCGCGAGTCCCAAGAAGATGAAGATGCTCAAGCAAAGATTGAGTAAAAGAACGAAGAGTCACTGGAAGACCAATCACCAGTGACTACAC